ACACACTTTAATAAACTGTTGCAGGTTTGTTTTGATCTACACGTTTCTGGTTTCCCATGATGCATTGCAGCCGTACCTCTGTCATCCTGATGTCATGCAGTGTCCTGATGCCGTTGCTAGGGGCGACCATGTCGGTGTATATCACATGCTTCCTCATGGTCCCGCCCCTCATCACCACCTGAGGCTCCTGATTGGACAGACCCGAGCCGTCCTCGGCATAGAAGGTGATGATGTAAGACAGCAGACCGCCGTACGACAGCAGCTAAAGTACACAATAAACAGTAAAGTACACAGTAGAATAAAGAGTAAAGTACACAGTAAACACTGTAAAGTACACAGTAAGAGTGGGCCACAGTACCTGTGGGCCTTGGTAGTGGGGGGGTAGTCTCCAGTACAGCGGGCCGACCAGGTGGCTGGTGTCCAGCTGTCGGGTGTCGAGCAGCGAGTCGCCACCCTGCTGGTGAACTCCAGAAACTACACCCTGCAGGTTAGACTGGCTGACCAATGACAGGAGGGCCGGAGAGTGAGACAAGCTGATCTGTGGAGAGAGAGGCCGTGTTTCAGTACACGTGTACATATGGTGGTGTGTATTTAGGATGTACACATGTGTATATACGTAGTACACCTGTGTACTTGTACTCACAGGTACTCGCTGCAGTCCTCCCTGCTCCTCACAGTCTAAGCTCAGTCCTGAACAGAAACACCGAGAGCAGCCGTCTGGACCCAGAGAGAACCAACCGGAGACACACTCCTCACAGCGCCGCCCGGACACGCCCACCTGGACACAAGGCACGCCCATCAGGACACCAGGACATGCCCATCACACACACACTGAACCGTCCTCAGCACCAGGACACACACACACACACACACACACACACACACACACACACACACACACACACACACAGTACCTTGCACACACACTCCCCGGTGTGTGTACAGTCACACACTCCCAGCGTGGCGTTGCAGAACTTCTCGTCCGATCCCGTGAGGTCGCAGCTGCACGCCGAGCATGCTGGGTAACCGTGGTAACCAGGGGCACAACGGTCACATAACCTGCCTGAGAACCCCTCTCTGCATGGACACTGCCCATTGGACAGCTCACACTGTGGGGCGGAGCTTCCTGCTGCCATGCAGCTGCACGCCTGAAGACACACAGATGTTAGTGTATCAATGCACACATGTGTATTTGTGTTACATCTGTTTGTATTTGTGTGTGTTTGTGTGTATTTGTATATATCTGTGTGTACATGTGTGTGTACTTCTGCGTGTATTTGTGTACATCTGTGTGTATTTGTGTACATGTTTGTGCACTTCTGTGTGTACTTGTGTACCTTGCAGCCTGTGGTGGGGTTGTGACCCCAGTGACCCGTCTCACACCTGTCACAGGTGTCTCCGTGTGTGTGGGGGGGGCAGATACACTCTCCGCTCTCAGGGTCACAGTTCCCTCCGGTTTGATCACAGGTGCATGCTGGGGGAACAGAGCCAGTTAGAGAGAACCAATCAGCAGAGCGACGCTTCACCTCCTCTGTTTATCTACCTGTGCAGCCATCGGCATGGAAACCATAGTAACCACGGCTACAGCGGTCACAGGTATCTCCGGACACGCCCTCCACACACTGGCACCGCCCCTCCTCGTCACAGGACTCAGAGACGGATCCTGATTGGTTGCAGCCACAGGCCCCACATCCCTCCTGACTCTGCAGCCCGAAAAACCCAGACTGAAAAAAGACATTTTAAACATTAATCAGTGATCTTTCACTCAGTGAGATCTGATCATCAGACGTGTGATCGGACCAAACAGCAAACACAGCCGGTCTCAACGCGGCCCGTGGTCCCCTGTTGGTAGTGTAGTTGTGTGTGTGTGTCTCACCTGGCAGCCGTCACAGGTGAGTCCCGTCACGTTCTCTCTGCAGGAACACTGTCCTGTTGTGACATCACACACACTGGAGACGGCACCGCTGACATCACAGCCACACTCTAAGAGAGAGACAGGGAGAGAGAGACAGACAGAGAGAGAGAGAGAGAGACAGAGAGACAGACAGACAGACTTTGAAGGATTAAAACTTTCTGCTCACACTTTAACTACAACTCCCATGAGTCTTTGCTTCTGTCTTAAAGTGAAAAAAGAAACTAAGATCAGTCCTTTTAAATAAACATTAAACTTAATAAAACATTTCACGTCCTGAATTTAACTCAATGTTCATCATCAATCAGTCAACAGAAGAAAAACACTATGTTGTATTTTTCCTAGAGGTTATTGTTACTAAAGTAGTCATGTGACAGCAGAACAAAGAGGTCAGAGGTCAAATCTGAACTGGATTTGAACAGATCAACATTCCTGCTGCTACAAATACAAAACTGTGTGTGTGTGTGTGTGTGTGTGTGTGTGTGTGTGTGTGTGTGTGT